TAGAAAAACTGTGAGAGTTGAATTAAATTGCAATGTGTGTGTCTGTTATTAATTGTCCTGTAATGATAAAAATTCCTCCACGCTAGAAGTTTACACTTGAAGCTAATTAATTTCTTTCATAAAATTTCCCATCTATGAGAGTGAAACTTCTCAACAATATCTAACTGAGAATTTCGTTTCATAATTCCATGAAAATCCTGATATTTAAGGAGTAAGTGAGGCGACCCATTCGAAACACGGAGAAATGTTGCCTTGCAATGACGGCTGCTGACTGCCGAAGATGAGACAAAACCAATAATAATTTTCCTATTAATTTCAATCATTAAATTTCCCCGCTACTATGATTATATTAAATGGCGTAAGATTGAATATTAAACTTTATTATTTTAAATTAATGCTGATCGGCTAAATTGCATAATATAAAACCATGATATAAAATAAAAACAGACTGAACGACCGAATTAACGCATCAGTATGTTCTACATTCTGCAACATATGCAAAAAAAACTCATCAAAACTAAATCATTTCTTAAACCTATTTCTCTCCAAAAACCAACAAAAAATATTTTGAATCACGAGCAAAGAAATTTGTCCAAAGGTAATGCCGTGTATGTTACACGAGGCTTTTACCGCCGTGCTCAATACACAGGGCGCCGACCATCACGTGGACTTCAATTCTCGTTAATTATCCACGATTTCTAAAACAAGAGGCAAGTAAACAGCAGTTCATGATATCATGTGGGAAATCATTATTTTTCAAGAGCACGCAGCCCAGTATGACGCTCATTGTCATCACTATTATGATCTTTTGATTAACATCTTCAGAGCGCAGGTGAGGACTCTTCAGGTTCCGAATATTGAACACTCCAGACCCAACAGCTGCTCATTCATTTCCACGCCATCTTTATTTCGATTATTTAGCCTTTCAATGCAATTATATCCTGCAAACTTATATTCCTTCTAATCTTTTTCGATGTCATATGCATTGGATAAAACTTGCACAAACCTCTACAGAACTGCGATAAAATTTGTACATGATTAGAGTTATCAATTTAGGTGAAAAGTTTCAAAATATTTCAATAATTAGCAGGGTAGCCCCCATTGCCAAGGCTAGATAATTCCTGCAATTTTGTATCTCCAAATCCCCTGGTTCCCATAATCCGTAATATTGTTCATAAAAATAAAAAATTTGTATTCTAATTCAATAAAGACGCCATCAAATACCGTACATTTTTTACATAAGATATATAACTTCCATTTGACTCTCGTTTAAAATAAGAAAAAAAACTATTTTGTAATTTTTAAAATAAAACAATAAACATAAATAGCGAAATTAAATTTCAGTTTTCGATCAAATCCTTCCCAATTTTTCCACTAGGAATAAATTATCAGGTTTAGATAATATTCTGACACAATATAAGTATCCTGGATACGCGCTCGATCCGACAGCCCCTATATATAGTGCGTCGCCAGATGCAGAACACACACGCAAACGTTAACAAATAAATACAAGATTATCCTCAACAAATCAGCCATAGATATTAGCAGCCATTATATTCATAAGACAATCATTTTAAAACCTATACATGACATTCATTTTAAAACTTACACGTGACATTCATTTTAAAAGTTACACATGACATTCATTTTAAAACCTACACGTGACATTCATTTTAAAACCTACACACGACATTCATTTTATCTACACGCGACATTCATTTTAAAACCTACACATGACATTCATTTTAAAACCTACACGCGACATTCATTTTAAAACCTACACATGACATTCATTTTTAAACCTACAACTTATAAACAATCATAACTCCGATTAAGGACAGCATCAATTACGACCACTCAGGTCGATCGATGTACCGCAGTATCTGCATTAATTAACTAATGAAGAATTATCTGTCGTTCAATAATTAAATTTCTTTGTTAAAATTGATATGTTTAAATTCCGTTCAATTGCAAATATGCAAATTATTGTTAAATATTAATATCTTTCATCAATATTGACATTTGCCATTGTACGTAATTTCGGCTAAAAGAAATATTACAGGCATGTATCTACGTGGAGTTTCAGTTAAACATTGATATTTTCAGTGATAATCATGGACTTCTAGATCTAGTTTGTGTATAAATAGAATATATCATTGTTCACACTTTTGTATATGCTGATCATCGAGTTGTCAATCAAATAACAAATCTTAATTAACTGACCAGAAGAACGGGCTATCTAAGTTTTTGCTGCCTCATTCCAGCATTTTCATATCCCGGTTTACTCCATAGAAAAGATTCATACAAAATGAGGAAATAGCACCAAATTATAAAGTCTGGATATCAATATAACTTTAGATCTATGGTTCATATTTATGCAACCACGAACGCTGGAATAGTTCTAGGTAATTAAAATTATAATTTCATTTATTTAATTTTTCAATTTAATTCTAATTAATTATTGGTAGACAGGTATATTTTTTAATAAGTATAATTTTAGATCTATGATTCACAATTTATGCAACCATGAACGCTAGAAGCCTGAGCTTCAAACTCATGCACATACACATAAATCAATTTGATCTCAATTCGAGATCGTTCGAAGTGATCAATCGCGTGTTGTCAATACCAAGCTTCCTGCTACCACATCAGTATCTTTATATAACAATTCAACAATTTTAAAAATGTTAATATAGCATGTTTTTCAACAAAACCTGCATTAAGAAAAACTTCTGTCTAAAAATTATATATCTGACTATATATATATTTGATTTCATGAGTAACGAAGCTGCGCAGAAATATTGTAAAGACATTTCTACAGACATTTGCACTTATGTAGCCCATATGAGGTAGCATATGCTCTCTTAATGGGACCTGCACAGCGTTAGACTAAAATAAATATTTCCCAATATATGAAATATCCAGATAAAAAAATTGGCATTACTTGATGATTAACGTTAAAAACTTGATTAGCGTTAATAACGTTAAGTCAGTCATGTTGTGTCAGGAACTTCATGGCCTTGATCAAATTAACCAAATTAAGATCTGCAACAGCCGATATAAAGATTCATGTAGAAGAGAAGAGAACCTATCACGTTGATCATATTATATATTATACATTATTTCATATTGATATATTAAGTACTAACGATACGCAAATAAAACTAAATCCTTCCACTATAACGACCGAATACATAAGCTACGTCGTCGATGAGAAATTCTTAGATAAGAGAATTTATGCTATTATTACTATTTAGGTATGAAACTACACTTCAGGTTGCGAACAAGGTCTTTACTGTTGATACGGCAATGCAATGTATCCAATATTGTTTTCTTAATATTAGCCAATTAAAAAAAATATAACAATCAATTAATAGAACTCCAAATAGTACCGAATAAGTATTGCAATTAACGGGTTAATAGCAAAAATATATATTGACGCGTTTCGTGCATTTGTCTCTACACTTTCCAGACTCATGCACAGTTTCAGCAAAAGGTTGTAGAAATGAAACTACTACAAACACTATGTGCAGTGAAGTTATGCAATGTCCGGCAATCTTGCCTCTCACGAGTCACTCTGCCAATCTTGCCCCAGAACTCTGCAGAAGCAATCAGCAGGCGACCTACAGGGCTCGTGACGCTCAGCTACATGCTCTCTTGACTCGGATAAAAACATGTGTCATATTGTCCAAATCGTGACCCACTTTCTCTGCCCATGGCACTAGCAGAGAGCGTACTCAGCATTGATGAGCCATTTAGCGGGGACAAACTTCACAATGACCCACATATGGACATAAAGTGCATCGACAATGTCACACTCATTTCTTTGCGTGTGCGGTGACTTTCCTAAACTGTGTCGCGTCTAAAACACGGATATAAATGTCCTATAATGGCGCCTATAATGGGTTGGAGTTATCTTATTATTGTGGATTTCCGTGGCTATGATTTTATCAAATGCAATAGAGCAGAATATCCATGCACAGCTAAATATCCGTGCACAGCTGAATATCCGTCTAGCTACTCAAGTATCAAGTATCTATTTTTATTTGATACATAAAATTGAGTTTATTGTGGCTGTGATATTTTTCGAAAAAAGTCTTGGAATGAAAATTTTCTCAATTCGGTCGATTTTCTTAATTACATTGCTAATTTACTGGAAACAAATTTATTTTACAGACTTTATTACAAAAATTCGACTATTTATTTAATTGACTAGGATGATATTAGAAATCAGTTCGCTGTATTCATTCCACCAGGCTTTATTTATTAGCAATTGTCGCGATATCGCTAATGTATTTTTTTTATCAAAGGAAACTAGTTACATTGAGACTTAAAATGAATGAAAGATAGTCGAATAACTGTTTTACTATTCAAGAAAAAAGTCAATATCTCAGTTAAACTCAACCCATATAGTTAGATCAAATGGAAATAAAAATAACCCTAGAAACGAAAAGAGACACGAGAATCTCACTACTGAACATAAGGCTTGAGCATCCTCCAGTCTTCTGCCAAAAATGATTCGAGAGGCACCAAGCCAGCGACCGATCAACTTACTTGCCAAAAGAAATCGTCATGACAATGAAAAATGTAGCCGTGGGGAATATCAAGTGACCACTACAAGTCGAGAGCTTTGATGGAATGGGCTCCCGCTGGGCTGGGGTCATAGGGGTCATCGCTGGGGGACCGGGGTCTAACTTCGGGAGCGCTAACCCCTCACAGTGACGTCCTTAAATTAAATAATTAATAATGTAACTTAAATGACATTACTTGCGGATATTTAGGATGTATTTAAGTACGTGAATGATTCAATACTTATGAGTTTGAGTCTGATTTACATGAAAAACGTTTCCAGTAAACGTTTTGAGGAACGAACGAAGAATTTGATATAGACGGGAGTCAGGGCCTGGTGCAGCCAACGCCATGCTTTACCTGATGACTCTTTGTGAAGCAGCGTCTTCTGCTGCTTCATCATCTGCTGCTTCATCTTCAGCTGCTTCATCTTAAGCTGCTTCATCTTCAGCTGCTTCATTTTCTTTTGCTTCATCTTCTTTTGCTTCATCTTCTTTTGCTTCATCTTCTTTTGCTTCATCTTCTTTTGCTTCATCTTCTTTTGCTTCATCTTCAGCTGCTTCATCTTCAGCTGCTTCATCTTCAGCTGCTTCATCTTCAGCTGCTTCATCTTCTGCTGCTTCATCTTCTGCTGCTTCATCTTGGGCTGCTTCATCTTCTTTTGCTTCATCATCTTTTTCTTCATCTTCTTTTGCTTCATCTTCTTTTGCTTCATCTTCTTTTTCTTCATCTTCTTTTGCTTCATCTTCTTTTGCTTCATCTTCTTTTGCTTCATCTTCAGCTGCTTCATCTTCAGCTGCTACATCATCTGCTGCTTCATCATCTGCTGCTTCATCTTCAGCTGCTTCATCTTCTGCTGCTTCATCTTCTGCCGCTTCATCTTCTGCTGCTTCATCTTCAGCTGCTTCATCTTCAGCTGCTTCATCTTCAGCTGCTTCATCTTCTGCTGCTTCATCTCCAGCTGCTTCATCTTCAGCTGCTTCATCATCTGCTGCTTCATCTTCTGCTGCTTCATCCTCCTGCGCTTCATCCTCCTGTGCTTCATCCTCCTTTGCTTCATCCTCCTTTACGTCATCCTCCTTTGCTTCATTCTCCTGCGCTTCATCCTCCTGCGCTTCATCCTCCTTTGATTCATCCTCCTGAGCTTCATCCTCCTGTGCTTCATCCTCCTATGCTTCATCCTCCTATGCTTCATCCTCCTGTGCTTCATCCTCCTCTGCTTCATCCTCCTGTGCTTCATCCTCCTGTGCTTCATCCTCCAGTGCTTCATCCTCCTGGGCTTCATCCTCCTGTGCTTCGTCTTCTTCTGCTTCATCCTCCTGTGCTTCATCCTCCTGTGCTCTGTCGTCCTTTACTCATTTCAAGTACCAACATTAAACCAAGTAAACGATTAGTTACTCCCATTCCAACTAAAATCTTCAGATCATCTCATAATATAAAAATTCCTTTTAATTTATTCAATTGCAGATTTATCGAAATTTTTAGTTGTTACATAATTTTGTAATACCTTCTTGCGTTGCGGAAGAAAAACTCAGACATTTCTCGCATTACATGTGCAAATAACGAAAATGTAATCAACTGCATTGTCATATTCCGAAAATTCATGAATTAAAACTCCTGTTTGTTTATTTAAATTCTCAACTGATCTCGCTCATGCGGCGCTCTAAATACCTCATATGAAGATTTAAGTCTTCAGTCTCTGGACATGAGCGACGGATTTGTCTCTGTTCCCCTGACCCTGCAGAGGCAGGATGCTAATCTCTGGCTGCCTTCCTTATAAGCCCGCGCCATCGACATTAAACGCTTCTGTCCGACCGCCCGGCACAGCAACCGGCAGCCGAAGTCGGGAAATGAAAACCCGGAGCGTCCGCACAACCAAAGTCATGAGCGTATTATGGAAATGACCAGACTTCTTCCAGTTAAAGTTAAGTCGATACGAGACACATGCGAGACACATAAGAAACACATGCGAGACACATGCGAAACACATGCGTGAGACATGAGAGACACATGCGAGGACACATGTGAAGACACCTGCGAGACACCTGCGAGAAACATGCGAGACACATGCGAGACACCTGCGAGAAACATGCGAGACACATGCGAGACACATGCGAGACACATGCGAGACACATGCGAGACACATGCGAGACACATGCGAGACACATGCGAGACACATGCGAGACACATGCGAGACACATGCGAGACACATGCGAGACACATGCGAGACAAATGCGAGACACATGCGAGACACATGCGAGACATGAATTTTTGGCCAATTTTTGTCCCTGCTTTATAGATCTCTTGAACTCGTACACCCAGAAAAATTTATGGGTAATATAGCCCTAATAGTGACACACTAGCTGCTCGTAGCACAGATACACGCTTTTGCACGACCAAGCTGGGTAAAGATGACTCACACGTGAGGAAAAAGAGGAAAATGAAAGCGAAGTTGAAATTTTAAGATGAACAGTCCCATTTACCAATTAGAAATACATTGTAAAGTCATTCGATAATTGGGTTGTAATGTAAATTTGACCTAAAAAAAACATTTCGAGGCTTTTATAACAGTAAGAACAGGCGAAAGGAAGAAAATTAACTCTAAGGTGCTAAATATAAACTAATAAAATTGAAAAAAACTGTACTGCATCATATATATATTGTGAAGTGTTTCCGTACCGTAATGATTCTGGAAGTCGAATGGTTGCTGCTTTTAATGAATTACGTCGCATACAATGGATAATAATTTAAAGTTGAAGTAAATCAAAAGTATTTATATTAACGGCATATTTTAACACATATCAATATTAACGGTATTTATTAACACATATCAATATTAACGGTATTTATTTACACATATCAATATCAACAGTATTTATTAACACATATCAATATTAACGGCACATATAAACAAATATCAATATTAACAGTATTTATTTACACATATCAATATCAACAGTATTTATTAACAAATATCAATATTAACGATATTTTAGATCAAAGGTTTTTGAGTCCTGCTCCATCATTAGTCCAAAAATATAACTCAGTTCTCACTGCAGTGAGTGACAGAGAGCGCATTTCCTCGTCGACGAAAACTTGAGGTCACGGACGGACAGACAGACAGACGGACATGATGAGCACAATAGCGCTTTTTTTTCTATAAATTGGAAAATGCGCTAAAAATTATGTAGTTCAGACATAATCAATTGATACATGCAGGAGTTACGTGGAGTAAGATCGTTCAGGCCTCTTCCTATTAATGGAATAAGCATTTAATTTCTGATAGAAAAAATACAGATCCTTGTTAAAAAAATATAACTCAGTACTCACTGCAGTGAGTGACAGAGAGCGCATTTTCTCATCGACGAAAACGTGAAGTCGCAGACGGACAGACAGACGGACAGACAGACGGACAGACAGACGGACAGACAAACGGACAGACAGACGGACAAACAGACGGACAGACAGACGGACAGACAGACGGACGGACAGACGGACGGACATGACTAGCACAATAGTGCATATGTATTTCCATAAATGAAAAAATGCGCTAAAAAGGCGAGTCTGTCACAGTTAGGTCAAGATACCCCGTCGAAGTAAGCACTCAGAACAATGAATGAGACCTTGTCCAAATAGCGATTCATTTGTGCTCTTGTGTGGATCATATCCTGACCCAGTTTGGGCCTACAAGAAGGCGTATCTGGGCTACGCTGGCTCTCTGCTCGTGCTGTGTGTAAAAAGTGAGTCACAGTTTGGCAATATGACTCAGTCGTTTTCTGAGTGCGGTCATCACAAATAGAATCGGTGCATTCGATCATGGAGCGCAATGTGAATGCCGTGAATGAATTAGTGGACGGCTCCAGTCAATACTCATGAAATTAAGCGTGTTTTAAACAGTCTGCATGTGTGCATATGCAAAATTACCAGTTATAATGTAATTTCCTGTGTGGGGTAACGTGTAGTATTGGCATGAGTAGCACAATAGCAAATTATGGTGCAGGGCATATATGCCGGTTGTATATATTGCATGAAGCTCAGATAGCTTGAACGTATTTAATAGGTGAATAGTTTTTCAGTAATAGGCATATAGTTCGATAGTTGTTCAACTGAGATATTGTTGAATAGTTTCTTTGACGTAACTATGGTTAAAAGTCTCATTCGGGAGGATCTCGCCAAAAAGGCGAAGAGTCTCATTCGGGAGGATCTTCATATTCATAATATCAATATACTCTAAATTTTCTTCATAAACACTACTAAAAATCTGAACTTTCTGAATTGAATAAATTTACTCGTTATTTATCTTCTGGGAACCCATAATGACTATGGGATCAGCATCCATATAAAAAAAACATAGTCGGAAAAAATTCACCCAAAAAATGTGTTCTTATATCTCGTGTGGTTGATTGAAGCAAAACGAATAGCTTAAAATACCTTTCCCATGATCAATGGGTGAACTTTATGCGAGTTTATTTTCAATTTATTCTATCAAGACGAGGATCTAAATTGCGTGGCGTCGTCTCTGTAGCCATGCAAAAGGATCTCGAAATGTCGAAGTTCAGACATGAGCCGGCGAGCTGTGCGCGCTAATGTCGGCTGCCATCCTCCCTTGTGACACAAGAGCAGGCGATGAATGCGCGGCGTGTAGTGCTTCTTTTGCAAACGTTTTTGACATACACGGCACTATGTGGAAATATATGCGACATTTTACATGTAATTATGATATAATCTATCCATTACTTTTATATAACCATTAATTATATGAAATAATATAATCATTATGTATACATCCATTATGTAATATAGCCATCCATTTGGTGTAAATATTATTTAAAAGTCTCAAATAAACACTTCCATAAAAACTCGAAATAATTTAGATCGATTGAAGTAATTTTTATGGAAAGCATTCATTTTAAATATTTATCAGCTATGAATAATTATCTTCTTTTAAAATTTAATGTTGGTATGCATCAGTAAATATATCTATAAAAATCATGTCCCAAGTGTAACTCAAAGTTTTTTTCTCCGTAGAAAATGAGTTTAAATTCGAAGCGAGAAGAAAATTATAGTTGAATGCGACGTGTCGGAAATCATTCAATGTGTTGTGCGAAATTGCATAAACACAATAAGAAATAATCTACATTATAAATCCCATACACAGGAGAAAAACATTCATACTTCAAAGCATCAAATCTAAAAAATGCTTAATTTTTGCTTAAAGCATCAAATCTAAAAAATGCTTAAAATTTACATTATAATTCATTCGAGCTTTAGCTCACCAAATCAACACTATTGACATCCACAATTTATCACACAAGATATATGTACAAGACAAAATACTCGTAAATGTGTATTACAAAGTACTTACAATGCCAGTAAATAAATCGTTTACTCGCATGAAGTAAAAGCTAGCAGAAATCATATATTTTTGGCTAAACCCGTGGTGCAGGTTGAGGTCGACAAATGCGCTGTTGGGCAGCGATCGGCCCACAGATTTTTTTGCTCATGATTCATCAATCCGCAAGGTCTTGCAGAGACGTAAGTCCGAGGCTTATGAATCGATGCTCGGACTAAGTTTCTAACTGAATCATCTTAAAATTCAGGTAGGAATAGCATAAAGCTTAGTGGAAGAATTTGTTCTGATGTGAACAGCAAATGATTCAAGCTTTCCTGTAAGTTCAAATTGAGATGCCGGATTACCTTAAGTCGCAAATGCAGGAGACGTGTACTTGTCGCTTACAGGTTCTGGTGATGGTCAATTCCTGGAAAGGTCTTTTCGACGAAGTTTTCTAATTTTTTTTTTCATGATAGGGGAATTTTTATTTTCATTTATTTATATTGCTTAAAGTTGCAGCAAGGTTTTTGCCGCCCAAAAGTGATGCTTACTTTGAAATTTTGACTCGTGGTAAATTTATTGATGAACTTTTTATTTTAAAGTGGCACTTTGAGTTCGAAAATGTTTGAAAAGGTAAACTTATTGTCACGCCGTACCGTGAGATACTTTATTTATTTCGCTTCGTCAGCACCAGGATTATTTTTTAACTTACACTACGAGTGATAAACTTCAATAAAATAACTGACTTGATAAGGTTTAGTGAATCAGAAGCAAGACGTAATGGGTTCGGGGCATTCAGCTTTGGCCCTCCATTGAAAGTTTCCTGTTTGCTCATGTGAGTCTTAAGTTAAGAAGTTTCATTGAAAAATTGAAATGATATCCCATGAATAACGACAATTTTCCCGATTAGCTGTGTTCCTAGAGGTGTTTGGCAATCGTAGGTTATTCGGTAGGAATACATTTATAAGTTCAATTAGTTTCACTTGACCACGAAGGTGTAGTCACCCATATGATTTATCGGAAAAAAATGTTTACCTTTCAATGCTAGTTTTACCATATATTTATAAAAACAGTGTCAATTCAATTAACATATATGAATTAAAGCAGTTCGTATTGCACCGAAAAATGCCCTGACATTTATGTATGATTATGGACGTAAATATGAACGCGTACTTCTTTGCACGTTTAGAACGCGTGTTAGCTTATG